GCAACTATGTTCCGAGATTGAGGGGAGTTTTCAGTGTAATTTTGTTCCAGGTTACAAACGCCCTGGTCCGTGTTCTCTGAGGGCTCGAGTTCACGTTCGAAAGAGCGACTAATTCTTCCGTCTTCCCGCTGTTTAGATCTGCGGTGAGAACTTCCACACTGTACCCGGTGGTTGGTCATGCTATTTGCGTATCTTCAACTGCTAGATTTCTTCAAGACCAAGGCGGGCCAGACCAAAAGATTGGCTACAAAAAGAAAGGTATATGACCGTGTATCAAGAGTGTGAATGTCGAGTTTCCTGGGAGTCAACGAACTAAACGTGTCACGGGCTGCTAAGTCGATCACTGATAGGTGCTCTTGGAAAAAATCACTCTACTTCCCGACTGGGCGGGAATGGGGGTAAACTCCCTTGGGGATGAAAAATTGCTAGTTCCTCTTAACGGAATGAGTAACTGAGTGTATTGTTTGAGGAATGGAGGCTTCCAAATTTTCTCCTCGATGAGAACTTGCTCCAGCTTGATGAGCATTTTTACTGTATCTCTCTCTTCTATTTTATTGCTAAGAACAGACCTCGAAAGAGATCCCCCAACAGGTTTCCAAAAGGGGGAGAGCAACAGGCAACACGAACCTTAGATACTCTACTGGTCGCTGCAGACCTCTGAAGCGGGCGCAGCGAGTGACAGGCGCTGTAGCCCTTGGCTTCAGCGAACAGTAGAATCCCTCCCTCGGGTTTCCTCACACTGGCCTACGTGCTACTTGAGTGTTTCCCCGCTGCTTCAAGTGTTGCGGGCCGCTTCCCTTGCCACTTGAGTGTTTTCCCCGCTGCAATCCTCAATGTCACGGCCACAGGTGAGTACCCCCTGAGGGCCCAACAAACGAACAAGTGCCCTTGTGGGTCGCACACACACTCAAGCCATCAAGCACCTCAGACAGACATGCAGACCAGCAAGCGTGCACACACACGGACTTAGAGAACTTAGTAGCAAGTGGGAAACTCAGCAAGGCATTCAGTCCATGAGCAAAACTCAGAAATCAGCTATGTGTTTCAGTCCGTGTTTGGTCGGGTCATCACAATGCAAACAAACACCAACTGGGCTAGCTCAGTTGGTACACCCATGATCTGTTGAAACACGACCTGATGGAATCAGATGTGTAATAACTTTTAATTTCCTTGCAGCCAGTCAGTTCAAAGATGATATCTCAAGGCTGTCACCCTTTTTCCGAAAGGGAAAAAAAAAGTTGCTACAAGCTCGTTTCATGTTTTCCCCCTCCTTGAATCTGCAGCGGACAATCTACTCCTTGCCATGTTCCCTGTGACAGTGTGTGACATGGCATTGCCTATTATAGACCACCATACGCATGGAGGATCTCCTGCTTGTTCTTGACGGCTAAGCTTTGCCATATCACGCCACAGTTTTAGAAATTTGGACAGTAAAGATCAAGGAAGGGTGATGTGCGGGCAAGGATCACTATGCATTTACTGTGACATGTAATGCCTCGCATGTGGTGGTCTAGCATTTGTATGAATCTAGTGTCAAACATGCATGTCAACCAACAATGATGGCAATTGTGGTCCGTCAAGTGTGACAATCTTTCCACCTGGATCCCGCGTGGCTGACTCCCTTTTTCCTTCCCACTTCCATATATCCTTTTTGATGTCTTGGAAGTCCTGACTATGATCGACTTATCTATTGTTTCGCTTTTGTTGGTAGTTAACTCTTTATGCTATAGGAAAATAAATCTAATGGCTCGCCAACTGACGCTCAGCACCTGGCAGATGTCGGACTCTCTATGGCGTTATCTTATTACTGATGTTTGAAGTCTTCAGTCAATTCCGATTCAACTTTCAACAACCACGTTTCATTCTTCAAAATATGAACTGGGATGGTACACAGAAGGTTAGCAACTTGGCACAGAGAACTCAGTTGTTATTACTCCATACATTCTTCAAAACATTGCTCAGAACTGGAATGGTGCAGAGAAGATTACCACATTTCCTGCACACTTAACGTTGATGAGCATGAACCAAGGAAGGTCCAAAGAAGAAGAGTTAAAAACTTGGAAGTCTCACTGGCTAAAAGTTGTGGTAGTAAGGTGCAAAATTCTCTCCTGGCAGCTGAACGAGTAATGGCCGAAAGGTTAGGTAATGCCGCATCACCCTTTCCCCGAATCCCCTGTCCTCCATACTCAGCCCATTCGGCTGAATACAATGAACAGTATGCACATAGAACTGTTAGCAAACAGATCATGAGTTTGAACCCTGAACCCTGACGGAATCGGATGGATACAACAATGTTAAGCCGCCAGTGCATTGCTCAGGCAAACTTGAGAACGAAATGAGCCAATCCGGAAATTTCGGGGGCTCTGGACTACTGGACCACAATGGCTGGTGGTGCCAGCCAAAAAGGGAAAAAAATTGAACCGCTGGTAGTTCAGCAAAGCTAAAGAGGCTCGGATGTACTGACCCTTTAAGGGCTTACTGCGTCGTAAAACAAAAAGAAAAGAAAGGAGGACTCGGTTCCCTATCCTCGACAAGCAACTGATGAAGGTAAGTACTATTAAGTTAGTATTAACTTCTAAGTTTTTACTATTAATTAACATCCTGCTTTCCTCTGTTGACTTTGGTTGGCTGGATGCTTGCAGAATGCATCAGAGAGTCAGATCCTGCTGGTATGGACACTTAATAATGCCATTGATGCGCTCTCTCGTAAAGACGGCAGTGGAACGCGTGCAACCTCTTTGCCGAGACAAGTACAACATGAGTAGCGACCTTTTATGTCAAGTTGTCAACAGCATTAGATCAAATAAATGACCCATTTTTCATTTTTATTTTTTTTAATGACGCATTCGCTGGAACTGCACTCCCATGCCCAGTCAGTCTCATATTCATGAGATCTATGGGATCATGGATTTCGTGAAATATCTGGCATTTTGCCATTTTTCACATTCTTTTTCTTCGAGGTCTTTGGGGAAGCTTTTTAGACAGAAAGAGTACCGTCATTAATTTATTATGTTAAGGTCAATCGAGTTAATGTTCCTTGCTGTCAATTTGAAGTTTTTACTATTTTCTGTTTAGTAGTCTTCAGGTCTCAACAGTTGACTACTCGGTATAGTAGAGAGTACATCACATCCTTCAAAAGCTTGTGTTTGTTTGGGCTTGTAGGCAGACTGTGCATTGATTCATCTTCCTGCCTACCGATAGACTCTGTAACCCTGGTTGTCTCCTCATGCTTCAAGATCTCTCCAGCAGTGGAGTTGGGGAGTGTAGCCAGCGGCGCCATAGCGGACACTATGCACGAAGAAGACGAAGTCTCTGAAGCGCTTCCCGTCATTCCCTCCCCTGGGGTAGATCAGCCAGCGCCATCGACGCCTACGTAGAACCTAGCCCACTGGGCGGAGCTATTTGCCAACGAGCCGGTACCAGAGCACCTGGAGGAGATCTCCAATCTTCTCAGAAGGCCCTCCTCCTCTTTCTTCTTCTTTTCCGTCCTTCTTCAGCGACCTCCCCCAACACGATGCACCACATCCCGCTTTCGCCCCCACCTTCATCGCAGGACCTTCTCACCCCCGCTCCCCATCCTGGACTCCCCCATACATTGATGCAAGGAAAATGAGCAATAGTGAAATGACAGATTCCAGATTGCAAAATCACATTGAAAGCCAGGAAGTCCGACACTGTCCAGAAAGCAGAATTGCACCGATATTACACCAATGGAGAACCAAAACACTGAATCCGAGTGTCAATGAGAGCATACTCTCGCCATCACCAACATAGGTATCCAGAGCCCCTCTCCTGCTTGGCGCTCGGCGCCCAGACAAGTATCACATAGCTACTACCAGCCTACGAATTGACAATGCAACTATTGACATCAGCAGCAGAACCGAAGTACATGAAGATGTCGTCCCTTGTAGACTATTGCCAAGGCCAGGTACGTGCCCTCACATCATCATCCTCATCTCTCTCTCTCTCTCTCCCTCATCTTCTCTGCCCACGTCTCCTTCCCATACACGAAGACCACCACCACCTGTTGACCATGCAAGCCCGAACCCGGCTATGAAAGGCTGGGCTATGGCGCTGCCCTCAGCAGCGCCCTGCACCTCACGACGCCCGTGTGCGCCCGCACGCTTGCACTAGCGCAGCTAGCAGCCTACAAGTCGATGCTCCAGCAGTGCTGCGCCCGTAAATGCAAGTGCCCGAAAGCTGGACCTGGCGCCTGTCCCTTTCCTATATGGAAAGTGGGGGGCACTTTGCTTTGCCCCGTCGCGTGAGGCCGAGTTTCCAGTAGCTTCAGTCTCGGCCAAAGTGTCTGCACCCAGGCCCGTTCAGACAGTGGCCAACCACCCAGGCACGAACGTGTGATGTCCCCTGCTTTGGCCACGTTGAGAATCGCCTGGAAGGCTCACGGATCTTTCCCATTCTCACGTGCAGGGTGGATGTAACCAACTGGCGCATGACAACTGTCTGGCGCTGACCAAGATTTGCAAAAATTGACGAGTTCAGGGGCCCGCCTTCACTTAGAGCGGGCACGTGCATGATGCAGGGCCTTCTGCAGTAATGCCGAGGGATCAAACCCTCATACTCCCTTCTCCCTTACTTCGATAGTCCTCTAAGAAGTCGTTACACAGCAGGCTGCTTCCCTTTCGAACTTCGCTCGTAACTTGTGATGACTTAGGGAGCAGTCTTCATCAATTCCTCTCTGGTGAACCATCGATCTTCTTTAGGATCCGTATGATGTCTATAGGGTACTCGATACTGCATCTGCGGTTTCAGAGGGCGTCCGCTTTTTTTTCATTTTTATTTTTTTTCAAGACATGCGCGCCATAGCTACACGGCGCACCCTTGTCTCGGCTCGTATCACTGGCGATGGCAGAGTCTTGGCCGCACTCTCCCCCTGCCACACACCCACTCGCACACACATACAGACTCTTGCCCTCACACTCTCTGTCACACCCACCCACGTGCACACACACACAATCTACTCTCTCTCTCTCTGACACACACGCACACACACACACAGACAGGCAAACTTCGTCCCATTTGTGTGTCTGCGTGTGTGTGTGTCTGTGTTTCAGAGAGAGAGCGAAAGAGAGAGCGAGCAAGAGTCTGTGGTGTGGCGATGAGGGAGAGAGCGACAGACAGACAGCCAATTGAGAATGAACTTCCCGCTAGAACATGGCCAGATGCGCCCGCCACGTTTCCTCACATTTCGACAGGGATGTGGCGATGCCCACGGACCGGCCGCAGTGCGGACCGAGCGCCAAACATTGGTGTGCCTGGAATCAATCAATCAATCGATCAATCGATTAACCAATCAATCAATCA